AAAGATGTTAGAATTGTGTCGATGTCCCAATATTTCTGGACCTGACTGTATATTCAATAAAACTCCTTTATATATGATGCAAATAAATAAGATGCACTGAAAATCTAGAAGATACTTACCAACAGTTGAAAATCGAATACCCATTGGAGTTCTTTTGCCTATATGCTCAAATACCTTTGCTTTGCAGTATTTGGTGATATCATGAGTCACTTCAAAATAGCCAAATGCTCCTGAAAAATTAAAAGGGGTTATTTTATGAAAAATTAAAGAGATTATTCCAAAGTCTATAGATTTGGAAAGAATATGAGTTATGGTAGATGAAGCAGAAAATAATGTCTTCATTATTATCAGCACTTACATGTACACATTTTTATGCTATGTTTTTTGAAAATGCTGATGGTTGCTGTAAATATAACAGCTCTGTTAATGGAAAGAGCTTCTGATTCAACAAAGGATTCTGCTGACAAAAAGGAGGGAATCAACTTTCACTGATTTTTCCTTCTTTTCCCCTCTCACACTAATCTCAAGCAAATCAGTTACTTGATCCTTAGCCATGGCACACAAGTGGATTTTCCAGATTGAGCAATGGCAATTTCTGAATATTTCTGCATGTAACTTATCATTCTTGATTAGATTCATATGTACAAAGGGTGTGTTACACGTAAGAAAAAATACATCCTAAATTAAATATTAAAAAATGCATAGTGACACTATGTTTACATCAATATGTAATTTTCATTATATATTACATTAAAAAATTACATTACATTACATATTACAAAAATCAACTCTGAATTGTAAATACGTTTCTGGAGCAGTAAATGCAAAGAAGTTTGCCTCTGGACAATACTTATTTCTGGATTTTCTTTTAAAAATTCTAAGAAAATGTTATGAGTCAATCAAAAGTTCACAAGCAAACAACGTTTATAACAGCTTAGTACATATGACACAATTAAGCAAGGATTCAGTAGAATATATCATGATTTATAAAAAGAATGCAGTATTATAAAACAAAGTGAAAAAAATTATAAAAATATCTCTTTCTCCAACCTTAAAAGAATGTTAATCTGATTCTAATTATTATGTGGTAACTTCTGTACACAAATCTATGAGCCATACAATGGACTAATTAATTTTAATGTTTAATGCTTCAATTTTTTTAAAGAAAAAAGTTAAATGTTATTAAATTGTATCAATCAGCAAAATAATTCCAGCAAAGGTAAATGAAAACAAGACAAAAACATAACAAGATCTCTCACAAAAGGCTAGATTACAGATAATTCAAGCTCCAAATGAAGAAAATCAGTAGCAGAAATAAATGCTGCTATAACGACTGTCATTGGCTATCCCTGAGAATACTATATAAGCATCACAGAATAAAAAAAAAGATTCTGAATAGATTGATTAAATTATATGAGGCACAGTTTCAGCACTGTCAATCAGAAAAACATATCTTCTTTCTACGAGGAACACTACAGCGTTATTCCATTAACAAGGCTAAAATGAAAAACACAATGCAAATTCAAAAACTAACCGGCTCCTTTGGCATGCACAACTCGCTCAGGAATCCTTTCTCGGTCAAAGTGTGCCATCTCATCGGTGAAAATCACATCCTGAACCAAGAGTGGGCCTCTTGGACCAACAGTCATAAGATTCAGCTTATCTCCCACTGGGATTCCTGCTCCTGTGGTTAAGCAATCGGCTTTCTAGATTCAAAACAAGAATCAAAGTTATAACAATGAAAGCATCCACTTTTTAGTGGTAACTGGAAAGCAATCCTAGATTAATTTTACAGACATCTGATGAAATTGCTTCCTGAAGCTACAGGATAATTTGTTTTTTAGGCTTTATTATTTCATAATATGAATTAAGAGATTAGCTATGCATCCAATAACATCCCAAATACCCACGCACCAAAGGAGGAAAAGCACAACATATTTAAAAACATTCTCCTGGTTACATAAATTTCCAGATATAAATAATTAAAAAGTAAGCCAAATTGCTACTAGGGCTAGTTATGTATGGGAGCTGCAACCATCTTTATTTATTTGTTTAGTAAATTTATAGGCCACCCATCTCATATACATGACTCTGGGTGGCTCACAATTAAAACAATAAAAATAAATAAAAACAACCAGAATTAAAAACAACAAAAACACATAAAAATAGTAGCCAAGAAGACTCATAAACACTCATAGTCATTAAACATGCTCACTCATACTAACAGGGCCCCAGGCTCGATGACAAAGCCAGGTTTTTAGCACCTTGCAAACGGCCAGCAGAGTTGGGGCAACTCTACTTTCTGGGTGGATGATGTTCCAGAAGGTGGGCACCACATCAGAAAAGCCTCTTCTTTACATCAAGCTATGCTGACACCAAAGGAGATTTATTTTTTCCCCTCCATAGAGAGATTTCCTCTGAGATTTTAAACTCAGCAAATTTATGAGAACATAACCACAATTCTTAGAATGACAACTTTTTCAAAGGGATTTTATAATAAAGGTTTTCAGCCCAAGGGTATCAGATTTCTACTAGACAGCCCGTGACCCTTTGGGTCATAGTTTCAGAGATATTTCCTTACCTAGAGAAGGACCATGGGTGGGCAAAAAAGCAATGGGAGCGGGAGTGACTTCCGACTTGCTGATTTCCCTATTGACTTTGCTTGTGGGAAGCTGGCAGGTAATGTCAGAAATCTTCCTTCCTTCCTTCCTTCCTTCCTTCCTTCCTTCCTTCCTTCCTTCC